TTCTATTGCTTACCTGAACTGAAGATTATCTACGAATTTTGTTGGGAAGCAGTTTGCCGATTGGGTTACGGGAGAGGTCGTCCCGTTATGTTTTGGGGCATAATCAAAAGCCCTGCAGGCAGTAGCGGAGCAACTATTCATTTATACATCCTCCATCCGTGTTATTTCGCTCTGGCTTATCAACCGCTCCATCTCCACTCTCATACAGCATTTCGGTCCTGACACTCTAAACCTTTAAATAAACATGTTTGCGGTAAGGGACTTGAGAGATCTATGTACGGTAGATGTGTCATCTGACGAAATATTGGCTGAAATTCCACATTACGTTTCCAATTCTAAAGATTACATAAGTATGGTTGTCATATTACTTATTATGTCCCTTAATGTTACGATATTCCAGTCAAGTCAGGATTTCGGCTTTCAAACGAGCTTCTTATCGACCGCCTACATGAATAAAATTCAGTGAAAATGGCTACTTAAGTAGCTTAGATTTGTCACGTTCGTTTTTGTTACCCTTATAAGTTCGAACATATTTTATTGAAAACAAATGCAAAATGTTCTTTCTTTTCTCCTTTGCTGGCAGATTAAGCCTTCTTCTGAGTATATATTTGAAAAAGAGTATCATTTGACTTTAAATAATTTCTCAATTCCCGAGTGCTTTTGAACCCGACCTGCTGTCACACTTACATTCCGGGTTCCCAAACTATAAGCTGTATACTTTCTGTGTAGGGAAAATCACACATTTCCAAATGTCTTTAAGAAGAAGAAGTCATATAGGACTCAAAATTTTGTCAACGATGCGGACCACGTTACCCATTTATGAGCAACATTAACAAAAATATAGATGCGATGCTGTATGATTGGACATTTCACGTTCTTAAAAAGTCTGATAACAGCAAACTTTTTTCAAAACCGAATGATACTCCTTCTGAAAGAATTCAGTTTAAAGAAAACGCAGATTTCTACAAATGAGTAAAAGAAAGAATGTTTTGTGCATGTTTTCTGCAAATATATTTTTGAATTTATAAGGGTGTCGAAAATCGATGGAGCAAATAAGTGCAACATAAGCAGTCATTTTTTACAGAATATAGTCCATGAAAATGGTCGACAAGAAACACATTTGAAAGCCGGCATCCTGACGTGACTGGAATAATTCGGCATTAAATGACAAGGTAATTAGCCTGACAATTATACTCAAGTGGTCCTTCCGAGCTGAAAACGCATTTCAGAATTTCGCTTAACATTTCAGGGGGTAGAACATATGCCGTATGTCGGACATATCTTTATGTCACGCTCGTGCGTCTTTTCTCGCCGCTAACAATGCGCTAGTTTGCTCACTCTTTGTAGTAAGGTCGTTTTGTCGATTTTCTTCTTTTGGTTATAGGACGGACTGACTGACACGCCGTCGTCGTTATCATCAGGGTTTCACACTGGCAACACTTTGTGAACCTCTGTCACCCAGAGGCCTGCGGTTGTTTCCTTGTCGTGGCGACTGTCTATGAATTGCAGACGATTCCCAAACTCTTTTAACCTAACAAGGCTGCAGTAAAGCATATAAGGACATCTCAAGATGTGCTCAGACTATGTGCGGGATGAGATTCTAGAACTGACACTCACAATATTCGCTCAGCATTGCGTGGTCCTACGCATTGTTTTAGTACTCCTTAGGCCATGCATAGCCTGCCGGCGTCGAGGGATAAAGTAGGTAAATTGTTATGATGTATGTGTTCAATGTACGCACTTTGCAGCATTTTCAGCCGATTGGCCTAGCTTTAGGGATAAGACCATTTTTAGCCTAAATAGCTTAGCAATAACAGCGTTGGATTTAATAGCGTACTCTTGTGCGAATTTTACGTTTTTGAGGTAACTGAAAAAGCTGAAAGTAAAACTACTCACCTAGACATTCTGGTCAGGGTGTGGCCGAAATCCCGACGAAAGCATTTTCGCTTCTTGGCGGAATTTTTAAACAATTGGCCAGACATAATGTGGTGTAGATCAGGTGTAATTTGTAGTGGCAGATCAGGTTGCTTATTTGTGCAATTATGTAAGTTGGTAAGACTGAAATCGGCCTCCGCTTTCATCCAGGCTGATAATATTACAGGGGAAATAATAAGACAGGTATGTGATTATCACCCATCGCTTTCTGAGGATACACTGATTTTTGAGACGAATATACATCTGCTGTCCGCGGAACGTTATATACCCCCAACGCAAATGTGGCTCATTCCAGTCGGAAACCTTCTTGATGCTATAACTGCCATAAAGTTGGTTATCTGTATTTGTATGTCTGAATACATTTGTTTCTGGATTTCGTTTTTGTTTCGAAAAAACGTCGAATTACGTATTCAAATCTTAGTCTGCACCTAATTGCGTAAATGATGGATTTCTCCCCACCTTATTACGTCAGAAATTTGACAAATCACATGTTTAGATATCCGACTCACTTGGTTCTTGAAGTTTTTTTCTTCATCAACTACCTCCGTCACACCCTATCGTCTGACTTTAACCCTGTTATCTGAGTCAGATGGGTGTGACTTGCAACGGTTTCAGGACTTATTCCTTCAGAGTACTCGGAAATCTTGCTTGGAATTTTGGCTCTTAGTTGAGATTCTAATAAGTAAAACTGACGACTACAATAATAATTGCGCATGATCTAGGAAGGGATATGCTTTTGAATAAATACATGGGAGATTTTGTACGGATACTTGTCAGCGCGACTGAAATTCCATTCGCTTTCTTCTGACTCTAAGCTTATGATCTGCTAGATGTATATACACCCGCAACATAACATCAATGACTGCAAGACTGGGCCCATTTGCTTACTCGTCTTGGAGAAAAATGCGCACTCCCAGATTCAAATCTTTAGATTCAGTTGAAGATCGATTTTCAACGATTCTTCCCATGAGGCAATTTGGAGGTCCGCAAATTTTAACCCCCCCCCCCCCCGTTTGTTACGATAACTTATTAAAGCAGCTTGTATCACTTTCTGTCTTTGGCAGGAACCGGCAGTTCGACCGTCGTTGCCAACGGTGTCCACTGTGTGCTCCACAAGAAGGTGAGAGCAGGGGCTGTGACTTGTGCGTAAATTAGTTTATAGTGAGTGTAGAATTGCACAGCATCTGCCGCACTCTCTCTTCCCCCGCCCCTGGACCCCGGGGCCAAGACAGATTCGAGAAGATCGGAGGCGGGGAAGTGCGCAGGTAGATGGCAAGGTCGAGCCCGCGCCTTGGCGTCCCACTTCACAACCCCTGGTCCACACAGCAGATGACCAGCATTTTGACCAACAACAACACCCCCACAGGGGTCAGAAGGACGAGGATGATGATTGGGTAGTCACGCCCACCACCTCTATACACAGTGGGAGCGCAAGCGCATCTGCCGGCAGGGAGCCAGATGTCAGGGAACTGCCAGCGCATAACAGGCTGCGAGGGCCATGGTTTGCTGATACTAGCATGGCACACGCTTTCAGACCTTTTGACCTAGAAGGGCAACAAGTGGCCCTGAATTCAGCCTGGGCCGTCACCCTTCAAAGTGAGATAACCAAACAGTTGTCGACTAAGAGGCACTACCCATGAATTACACACACTATCCTCACATATATGAGTGTCACAGATCGCTTGCGAAGGGGCCGCGATAGCCTGACTCCCAGCCCACCACTCCGCCACTCCACACAACACACACAACGGGGCAGACTGCGTAGACTGAGTTGGAGCGTCAGTCGACCGCTTTCCGAGTCACGGCGTTCGACGCACCGTCTTCGTTTTAGACTCCCATGACACATGCAGGAGGAGGGTCGCATGGAGAAGGGGCCGAGAGACACACCCGCCACTTGCGTGGGAGGTGGCAGTTGGGTGCCTGTGGTAGGTGGTGTTGATGTGCGGTGAGATGGTGGTGAGGGAGGATGCGATGATGTGGTGCAGCCGGCGGTTGGCCACCGCAGGTTTTCGTGGACGCGCATGTGGCATAATAGACCCACGCGGCGAATAAATGTGCGAGTACAATGTGGACAGCGAGGCGGCTACGGCGAGTGGGGGCTGCTGCGCCAGACACTTGTTCGCAAGTGACCGGCCAGGCCGATGAACGGGGTGAATGTACTGGGACAGTGTGAACATGAGAAATCGGCTGTGTCAGCATCAATTTCGGTGGTGGGGATGGTGGAGCTGGTGGTGGTGGGCGCGCTGGGCGATGGGTGTGTAGGTTGGGCTGAGCATGGTGAGTGTGCAAGACGTACTGAGTGTGATGGAGCTGGTGGCGGTTGGCGCGCTGTGCAGCGGAGTGTGGGCGGGTCTAGGCATGGTGGGTGTGCTCGATGTGTCGAGACTACATTCAATTCCGCTCTCGTGTATTCGCATTTGGCTAGTTTCGGTGCGGTGGATTCGCAAGTGACCGAAGAGGCCGATATGTGAGATGAAAGTGCGATCGCAATGAGGACAGGTATAAACCAGGTCCTCATCACTAGTGTTGACGGCGGTGGTGTTGGTGTTTTGTTGGTGTGTCATCATTGTGTTTGGTGTTAACAGTAATGGCAGACGCCACAGCGCAAGACGTTGAAGCGGAGGAGGAGGTGGGAGAGGAAAGTGGTAGTGGTGGTTCCGGAGGGTGGTGAACGTTAGTTATCGGCATGGAAGGCGAGGGAGAGGTTGATGGAAAGACGAGGATTGGTGCAGTCCGGTGCTGCAGTTGGTCTGGTGTTGTCTAGCAAACTCAGTTGGCGCCCGGAATGTCTGCTGACATTATGTACACGTTGGAGACGGTGGAGCGTTGGCGTTGTGAGGCGGCGGCGGCGGTAGTTGATATTTGCGTGCTTTGCGTTTGGCTTTGGCGGCGGTGATGCAGTTGGCTTTGAAGCTGTCTTCATCGTTCTCCTCCACGCAGGTCGGTCCAAAGCGAGGCCTCCCTAATTTGCCGGGTTGATCTGCAGGCGCTTCAGGGAGGTTTCCAAAGTATCCTTGCAGCGCCGGACTTGACCTCCTTGTTGGCGTGAACTCGTCGCGAAAGCTTCATAGAAGAGTCGTTCGAGTAGCCGCACTTAGTCCATCCGTATGAGGTGGCCGTAGTTGTCTCAGCATAGCGTAGATGCTGGGGACTCCCGTCCGCTCCAGTACATCCGTGTCCGGGATCCGGTCCTGCCACCTCCGCTTCGGTATTCTGCGAAGACAACTGAGGTGGAAGTGGTTGAGTCTACGTGCCTCCGGCATGTACACCGTCCAGGTCTCTGCCCCATACAGCAACGTTGGTAGGATGACAGCCTTGTACATCTTTATTTTCGTGCTGAGTTGAAGACTGTGATGATTCCAAGCTCTGTTCTGAAGACTACTGAAGGCTTGACTGGCCTTAGAAATCCGGCGGGCCACTTCATCGTCGATTTTGGTGCTGCGGGAGAGGGTGCTGCCCAGATACGGGAAGTTGTCCACCACTGGCATTTGAGTTACATTCACGCTGGTTTGCGGCGCATTGTGGCCTGTGTTGGGTGGCAGTTGGTGCATGACCACCGTCTTCTCCGTGTTAATGACCAGGCCGAAGTTGTCGCAGGCGGCAGAGAAGAGATTCAGGCTCCTTCGTATAGTTCCCTCAGTAGTTGCATTGAGGGTGCAGCCAATGACATACAGAAGTTCGTGAACGGTGCTTGTGGATACGTGCGACTGGAAGTGCATCCGCCGCTGATTAAAGAGGTGGCCTTCCGTCCTGTAGGCGACGCAGATCCCGGGACGTTCTTCGCAGTAGTCGTCCATTAGCATAGCAGGGGACATAAGCCTGAAGACGGAAGGCGCGAGGACACAGTCCTGCTTCACTCCGTTGGTCACTGCGAATGTCTCTGAGACAGTTCCATTATCCGTGACTCGCGTCATCATGCTATCGTGGAGCTGACGCATTATCTGAGTAAATCGCTCAGGACGGCCGAATTTCTGCATGATTTTCTACAGCCTTTCGCGACTCACCGTGTCAAATGCTTTCGTCGGATCCACGAAGTTAGAGTAGAGGTGGGTCCGCATCTTCTGACACTTTTCTTACAGTCGGCGGAGGCGAAGACCATGTCCGTGGTCCCACGATGAGGGCGAAAGCCGCAAACTGGCTTTCCGGCAGGAGACGTTGTCCCAGATAGTTGTTCAGGCGGTTGAGAAGGATGCGAGCGAAAACTTTCCCGGCAGTGTTCAGTAAGGAGATGCTTCGATGGCTATCGCAGAGCTGGAGATTACCTTTCCGCTTATAGAGATGTACGATTGTAGCGTCACTGAAATTCTACGGGACTTCCCCTTGATGTCACATTACCTGAAAGAGCGCCGTCAGATGATCCATGAGTTGCGTGTCACCATGCTTGTGGATCTCAGCAGGAATCGTGTCCGCTTCCGATCCGGGCTCTTTCCCGCTGTAGAACTGTCGCATGGCCCTGGTGGTTTCGTGGAGAGAGGGCGGGAGTTAGAGGTTGGCGTTGGTCTCCACTTGAGGCAACCGGGCGATGGCGGTGTCGAAGATGGTGGAGAGGCAGTTGAGGACGACTTTGAAGGGCTTGGCCCATCGCTGTAGAATTTTTGTCTTCTCAGTGAGTAGGGTAATGCCGTCGGCGCTGAAAAGAGGTGCAGTTGCTTTGGTTGGCGGACCGTAGACAGCTTTGATCGCGACAAAGAAGTGCTTTCATTCGTTGCGATTCGCGTCCAAGCGTCCTGTATCTCGCGCAGCCGCTCTTGCACATGGCTGCGACTACGTTAGAAGGCTGCTTTGTTGCCGTCGGTGGGGCGGTCGACGCAGGCTTTGTGCAGGCGGTTCTTTATGGTGAGCAGATTGCTGATGGCTTCGTCGTCGTCGTCGAAGCAGTCCCGATGATGGCCACGTGCGCGACCGAGGATAGTCAGGGCCGTCCACTGGACTGTGTTCCTTAGTTTTCATCATCGGTTCTCCACGAAAACGTTTTCGTCAGCAGCGGCGGTGGCGAGGGAAGGTTGTCTAGTCTTTGAGCTAGCCAGTAGCTGAAGTGAAGATGGTGAGCAAGCAAAAACAACAAAGCAATATTCGGCAATATTCGTCACCTACTTTGAGGTCTCCTGCGAGGCTGTAGGCAAATCCGGGTTTCGGAGATGACGAGGCGATAGTCGGTCCACCCGTCAGCACCCGGGATCGGCTTCGTCATCAGCACATTCCGTTGGCCTCGCCTCCGGACGAGGAGATAGGTCATCAGGTGCCAATGTCGCGACCGAAGGAGCATTCAGGTGGCTTTCGCTCGCATTAAGAGGCGGAAGAAGGTATTGCTCAGGACGAGCCGGTGTCCTGTGCAGGTTCGTAAAAGGAGCAGGCCATTGTCGTTAGAGCCGTTGAGAGCAATAGACCCCGCACTCCTCTTCAGATAGCATGATCTATGCCGACGCGGGTGTTGAAGTCACCAAGGCAAATTAACTTATCCGCCTTTGGCACATTTACCAGTATGACGTTCAGGTCCTCGTAGAATTTGTTTCTCGCCTCGTCAGGGCTGACCATCAGGGAAGCTTAGACGCTGACGATGGTGGCGAGTCTGCCTCCTGGAGAGGCAGGTGGAGGCTCATCAGGCGATCGTTGATGTCCCGCGGCAAACAGGGCAGTCGTCGCACGATGTCGTCTCGGATGGCAAAGGAGACGCCCGAATCCCGTGGCTCTGTCTTGGAAAGACTGCTCCAGAAGAAGATGTAGCCCGCACCAACATCCTCCAGTTGGCATTGTTCGGAGAAGAGGGTCCCGCTGAGTGCAGCGACGTCCACCCTGTAGCGGGCCGACCCCGAGCCACTAGTGCCGTCCTCCATTCCGGTCGTTTACTCCTCGGATTGTGTAAGAGGGTTTGAACATTCCAGGCTGCCAGAGTGAGCGAACGTACCCTACCAGTCTGGCGAGGGGGGCAGCGGGGTGGGGGAGGGGGGAGAGAAAGTGTGTTGTTTCTGATTTTGTTGTTTCGACCGTGAATTTTGCGTCTAAAGCCACGGTCAGCCTGCAGATGTCGTGGGGTTCCAGCATTTGTTTAGGGCACTTTTTCTAGCCTTTTTCCTCTCGCGGGGGTGAGCAGTGCTCTCCCTAAATAGGGCTGCCCAGTTGTCCCAGACGACTGCCGAACTCCACTATTGGCCACGACTTTTGTTTAGTGGAAGAACGACCCGAGTCAGCCTGGGACTGTTTGCGACAACGCCTTAGGACTTTAAGGCGGGAGGGAGAGAATGGGGGGAGGGTAGAGAGACGGCAGGCAGGGCTTTGGCGTCCCCCTCTAGGCTAACTGGTTGCTGAAATACAATCGCTGAGTAGACAAATTCAACAAAACGACAGTAAGCCTACAATAAGGAAAAACACAAACAAGCAGACAGTGAACGAGCAGAAAAGAACAAGCGAAAGCAAAGGCAGCAGAACAATGTTCACTTACCTGAGGGCTCACTTACCTTGTGGCCTCCTATGGTGTTCCAGACGGAGCCTCATGTCGGAGATGTCGATGCGGTGGTCCATCTGGCCGGCGGACCCGAGATTGCCGTGTGCAGAGATGCGCATACGGATACCCTCACCTGGTTTAGCCCACCGGTCGAGGCTGTTACCGGGGTATGGCTGCTATGCGGAGCTTAGTTTCGGGGAGCCACAAGTGAGAGTTGGGTACCAGCAAATTGGCGCTAAGCGTAGTCTACCCTTACGAGCAAACGAACAACCTACTTCGATCGTCATCTGGACTCGAAGCTGGACACCCCTACACCAGTCAGGGATACCCGTATAGGCGAATTCCGATGTCTGTCGACAGTATGTGCGACCGTTGCTCTAGTGGTAGAGGGTTCGAGGCAAAAATGACTGAGCGGTAATTGACCCGCGTTCAGAACTTCCACCTAGAGTTGGGGTGTCACTGACTGATGACAAAAGAACCAGAAATGGTTATCCCACAGTCCCTAACCCTTATTGTTTACACCTCTCGACGATCGAAAGCTAGACGCCATGTAAACGCCGGTAACGGTTCTAAATTCATTAGCGCCAGTGTAGAACGGAGTTTACCTTTGTCTCGTAATGAGGACAGATCGCCTTACGTCATCCATATCTGACTATACAGTAATGTTCCGAACTTCGCAGGAGTTACGTTCTTAGGCTCTGTACATACTGCACGTACATTTAAGTCTACTGTCCGCCTTCTAATGCCCGTCTGCGTCTTCTCTGAGACGCTTAACTATCGTGAGGGCACGTTCTATAATTCACTGCATGCTACGCGAATTCCATTTTTAAATTCCGGGGGAAAATGTACGAATTTTTGAGGCCGCAGATTCAGAAACACGATTTTCAAGGTACTACCGCATTTATAACACAAGAGTCCAAGTAAATAGGGTCATCGATGAATCATGTTAACTACCTCTATGGTCAAGTGTTTGAGAACAGAAACGGTCGTATGCAACACCGCGAATAAACTCCACTATATAACTGGGCCAGTGGTTATCTCAAGTTGGAATTCAGTGAGACAAGGCTTACGGTATGGGGTATAGAGGGACACTTTCTACTAGTCAGGAGCTCAATCAAATGGGTTGCATGGCCCTGAAAGTAGCAAGGCAGGACACTGTGTTAGGTGACCACTCCAGCGAAAACCCAACGACTGTGGTGACATGTAGTCCGATAAGATAGCTTGGGAGCTAAAGGCAGCTAAAACAATCGGCTGGCGGACTTGACCACTTGGACAACGTATAAAGTTAGCATTCCAGAACTAGTGAGCATAAATTGGCTGGCAAAATCTGCTTGTTGAGGTCTACAATCGCACACGTGGTCCGTCAGAAGGATAAGCCAAGAAGAAATGGCCAATGCACGCAGTACGCCAGGGAATATTCCAAGAATAGCAAAGGGAAGGGAGTTTCCCATTGTAGCTTCAGGAGATTTGGAGGGGCACTTAATCGTTCTGAGGTAAACCGAGTTACAGGAAGCCGGTACATGTAAGAATTTTTAGAGAGTTTCAAAATCCAGTAAGCTACCGTTAGGCAAAAAAATTTGAAGACAACAGAAGTAAGCACAGAATTGGGTATGGGCATTCGTTCTAGGAAATGGGACAAAAGTTATTCAGGTATTGAACATTTATTCAAAAATGCGCACTAACCACACACCTTATTTCGGAGCTCAATCTACAAATGTGGCTGAAAACGAACTCATTTAGAAGTCAATGTATTCAATCTGTCTGGGGTTATCATTTGGGCTGAATAACTTTGGAACACCGCCTAAGTGATATCTTTCATATCGAAACGTTTTTATCAACGTCCGTTAGTCTTGGCCCACACTGTAGCAACCGACGTAGAATTAATTTTTCACATATCTGATATGAATCCTGTAAATCGTCAGGCCATGTCCGGACATATCATTTGCAACCGAAACTACTGAATCTATTGGTCTCTTATGTCCTATGATGAGCTTATTACGTAAACCGTTTCGTTTTTCACATTTAGGCTTCCATGAAGTCGTAACATAAATCACGATACGGCCGAACTCAGTTTAGCTTCTCGAGAGTATTTGGTAACGTCGGAATAAGGATTACCGATCCAACACTAGTTTAAAACCGCGGAAAAAGTGGCAACTCTGACGCGACGCGAACGAAAAACAGTCCAGTATTATCATCACATTGCTCATCATCTAGGCATGCTGCTCCAGTTTTCCTTTGCCACGGAATGGGAAACGCGGCCGTCAACCCCTTGTCGCGGACTGAGATGGGGGCCGCCCTCAGGACGCACCTCGTTTCCAAAGTATTGCTCTTCGCCCACTGGTGCAGTTAGTTTTCCAACCATGACAGGATCGGGATACACTACCTTTTTTCTGATGCATCTCTTCCCATCAACCTGGGTAAGCATCGGTGACCCACTTTCAGGCATGTAACGCACTTCCTTGCATATGCAAATGAAACTCCGGCGTCCGACACGCTATGCGCTCCATCCGGACGACGGTGAAATTGACTAAGCGACCGATGCGTTGCGGTGCGGAAGGCATGTTTTCACCAACGCGTCAACCGGCCGGCATACGTTGGTGACAACAAGCATACACATCTCATCTTCTGTGTTGCATGTGTCTCAGAGCAGGCCGCTGCACAAGCCCTCGGCGTTGGCTCGAACAGCTCCTCCACAACTGATTTATTACCCAATCTACCTCGCCTCTTGCTCACTTGTAAACATTTTAGCCCTTTAGGTGTCCGTAGGGCGATGTAGGCCACCCTCCTGCCTACAGCTACCATTCACAGCAGCATTAAAACTAAGTCAGGAGTAGGACAGAAATATAACTAAAACTCCCCTTTCGGGGACAAGAGCTTATCTGATTGATACTTATTTCCGTTGGTTAGACCTGTGCATTGGGTAATCAACTTCGGAAATGGGACTTTCGACAGTATGTTCGCCGTATTCATTTCCTTAGACTATAGTGGTTTAGCCGACGTTTGACTATCCATCTCGCCAATGATGCATTTAAAAGCATGCTTGATGACAGCGCCCGGTATAAAGCCGTGGCAACTTTATGCGGCAGCAAAATAAGGATTTAACTGATGATATAGACAAAACGTAGTCACGTTGACATATGGCTATACGAGCAAGGCTCAGTACTAAAGCGATTCAGGACTTAGTAGGAAGTGCAGTTTACAAATGCGCGCTTAACAGTGGGATGGCACTATCAGAGGTTGGTTCAGCTGGTACCGTTCTCGAGGACATTAGAAACAAGTTTGAACGATGATGTTGTAGTAGTGTTGCGAATTCCCGAGTCCACTGGATTCTTCCAGTGGTATCAGGGGGTGGAGTTGTTTTGAGGGGTAGGGGAAAGTGGTTATACTTCAGTCTAACGCAGTCAGGCTTAAAAGTCAGTCAATCGGCCCGTCGATTGCCTACTGCTGGTGGTGGTATGCACTCTCGAGTGATTGTAACTCGCGTCCAGCTTTGCTGATTGACGCACGTCATTGGCGGGCAGCGACTATGTTTTGACAATGCTGCATAGAATAAAACTCATCTACTGATATTTCTTATCTCTCCAACCTACTGGCGTCGGGTATTTCGACTTTGGCGGCTGTGACACGTAAAATACTTCCACGGTCGCAATGGAACGACGGACTTTTACCTTCCGAGTAGGAACTTTACTGGCGCCAAAATATCGGCACAATTATCAGTTTTCGGCTGCTTTGTCTTCGGCGCCCTGTAACCGCCTGCAAGGCTTCTGGCCCCGTGCTAGTTGTCGAAATATGATTGGTCTCTATCCTGACTTGTTAGCAATCACGCCGTCATTTAAATCTCGGCATCACTGAGCTACCACATTTACTTTCCCCCTATTCAGCCAATACTGACTCTATGGACACAGCAACATGGATGTGATAATTCAATTTTAGACCGGATTTTTGACAGATCAGGCGACTTAAATCCACAAATGAAAATCAAACGACCGGGTCGTGACTTGTGGGCTTTTTTGGTCGGAACTTGGGAACGTAAGAGCTGTCTCCTCATGGTTAAGTTCAAACCGCCTTAACTAACCCGAAGATGTCAGCTGATGATGTTTTGCTCACTCAACCCCTTAACATCAGCGCATCATTCAAGCACCTGGCTTTAAGGAGAGCCGCAAAAACACAACGGTTGCACTCATCCCTCGGCGCAAATGTGAGAAATAACGAAAGCTCTGTCACACATTCTCAAAATTCTACATTAAACTGTTCAGAAAAGACAACCGGACAGAAATTGTCGACTACCTATTTAAAAAGTGGCAGGCTTATTGCACAATATCGGCAACTTGTTACGAACAGATTCGCATTTTTAGCAGACAGTTCTTGGGTTTCTTTGTCAAAGTTTCCTTG